AGGCTGTCTGGTCCTGAATCGGTTGTCCATTGGCCAGAGCAAGGCCCGCGAATGAACATGTTCAAGGCTCTGCAGCGCGAATGCATGCGGGTATGCTGAAGAGCATAAGCATGAGCTTCATCAACAGCCTTTGCCACATTATTCAAAATRCGGTCATGAGGAAGGTTGGTGTACATTGTGGTGAAATCAACTGTGCGAGGAGAGAGGCCACGTAGAGAGGACACATTGTTTTTCAGGTCAATCGCCACCTCATCGGCACTGTGGACGATCCAGCACCGTCGAACACCTTCCTGTTGATAGAGCTCAGTGTCTGCCCGGTAAACTGTAGGCAGAGAGGGAGAACAGGACAACAAACGAGGGGATGTGGCAAACTGTTTCGCTGGAGTTTCACCGACTTATTAGGAGGTTGTACCCTCAACAGTCTGCAGAATCCCCTAACTGATTACACTGTAAGTGATAATCCACCTTAACCCCGACTGGGGTTAAGCATCAACGACTGCCCTACTACTGATACCCTGAGGCGGGCACCAACAACTGCCCCAAAGGTACCTGTGGCAAAAGTCAAACCAGACTATCACTCACCCACACGAGATGGAAAACTCTACAGACTGTCGGTTCACACCCCATCACAAGCAAGTAGAACACCCACGAAACAAAGAAAGGTCTGTCACAGCCAAAAAATACACTCCAAACACGCCGCTGGCACTAGAGGCACAGCATGGCCGCGTAGTGACGGCCCTGACCACTGCCACTCGACCTGACCGGATAATACCGTAGCAGGGTGCTAGCGAATATATATATATATATATATATATCGTCAATATATATATATATATATATATCGTCACAAACAGAACTGCCCAGTAAATATATATATATATAACGTCAAACAGAGCAGCCCAGTAAACTGTAGGCAGAGAGGGAGAAGAGGACAAGAAACGATGGGCTAATAGGGTTCAGCTCCTGATGAGTTGGTGAAATTCCGACGAAACAGTTTGTCACAGCCCCTCGTTTGTTGTCCTCTTCTCCCTCTATGCCTACGGTTTACCGGGCAGCTCTGTTTGACTATATATGTATATATATCGTCATTCGTCAATATATATATGCCCCTCTCTTCACCGATGTCTGCAAGTGAGAGTTCCTGTGTGGAGACATAGGGTGTCCTTGTCCTCAAGTATATGTGGGTTCCCAAAGAAGGGTTGACGCCAGACTTTATGCCACGTGTTTGGGGTTGGGTGGGGGGCAGTTCAAGGGTCCCTCTGTCTCTCCACAGCCATAGGAAATAGGGCCAAAGGGGGTCAAGCAGCAGATCCCTTTTGCCCGGTTAGGAGGGTCACTGAGATTTGTGGATCTCACTGGTGCTGGAGTAGACCAGTGTGCATTAGTTAGCTATTGTAAGGGATGGACTGGTTTAGCCGGATAAGACGTGGCGGGGGGGAGGAGGGGGGCACGCAGTGAGGCGCCTCCAGGCCCCGGTGTACTGGTGGTTTAAGCAGAACCCCCTGAACCTGAAGTTTCTTGAAAAAAAAAAGAAAAGAGGACATCGTTTTACAAAACGAAAGAAGGAAAAAAAAGGTGGAGGTTGTTTGTCAAAGGGGTGCTCCAGTGCTGTCACTGTATTCAGTGGTCCTCTAGCCTTCCCCTTTTTTCTGAACAAGGATATCGGGCCACAACAGGGCCAGTGTGGGAGCGGTGCATACCACACCCACTCAGCGTGCAGTGGCACTATCCTTGAAGAAGGTGGGGGTCAAAATGGCAACCTTGGAGGTCGAGGAGGAGGAGGAGGAGGAGGAGGAGGAGTTGGATCTTGCTGGTGCTGCAAATGACCTGCTGGGTTCTGCATTTGGCTTTAGATACCCCTGGCGTGTTTTGGTGGTTGTTTTGTAATTCTTTGATTTCTACTGCTGCAAAAGAACGGTTTCCTCTATTTCGAGAGGAATGTTTGCAGGCTGGCGAAAGATCCTCCGAAAAAAACATTCCCCCTACATCATTTTCTTCTCCCACAAAACATCCTACAAACGCTCAATTTGTGTGTTCAGCCAATCGACGCATTAGTGAATGCCACCCTTTTTTGGCCCATGGCTTGTGTGTTCAGCCAATCGACGCATTAGTGAATGCCACCCTTTTTTGGCCCATGGCTTGATTTGACCACACATGCATCCACATGTGAAGCGGGTACAAACTGTTTCTCTATCACACACAGACAAACCAAACAAGGCATATGCAATGCTACAGAGGAGTCAACAACTCCGTTGCCCTCTCTCTCTCTCTCTCTCTCTCTCTCTCTCTCTCTCTCTCTC